TCAACGGATGGTAATCTAAACATAAGTAGTTCTTAACAACATTCAAATTGATTTTAGGCACCACAAACTGAATCAGTTTTCTTCCAACTGACACTTATTCGTTTCTCCATTTTGGTTTCCTTACTCCTATTGAGTAGCTGATAACCATGTCTCCGCATAATCTCCATAAGGTTCTCGAAGATCCAGAAGGTAGGTAATCGATCGAGAAGAGTAAGAATAGTTTCTTTCGGTAGACTCAAAGATAACTTCTTCTCATTCATTTGGAAAAAATTATATCCTGTTTTCAGAAGCAACAGAAGTTGTAATACCTACCTATGAACTCTATGAAACCTCCTATCAACCAAATGATCCCGAAAAGCTTTTCGAGCGTCACATTTGGATTCCAATACTGCTGATGGCTCTTATATCTCTTATTCCAGTAATTTACTTTATAAAATGGATTGTTAACAGAATTCTGGACTGCTGCAGACGCAGGTTTCCTTAAGAAAAACTTATTTTCTTCTAACACTTGAGTTTTGAAGAAGAGGAGTACCAACGTCAGAAGTTACAGGAAGAGATGATGGACAAACCACAAGAAGGTGAGTTATCTGCTAATTCCTCAACAATCCCTTTCCAGAATGAGAATGATCAAAGGTTGTGTTCAATCAGAAACAGTCGATAGTTCAATGAAAAACGATGATGTTAAGTTTCTGTCTGCATTCTCACAGTCATAGACATATTCCAGTGGGAACATTTAGAAGAGCAGCTGTTGGAATTCGCAGAGAGCTTCAAGAAAATGGAAAAGAAGAACCTGCAACAGTCTACAGAAGAGAAATCTGAAGAGAAAGGTAGAAATAACACCACGAAAAATGAAGATGTTTATTTTCCTTGCAGAAGAATCATCACCAGATTCAACTGAAGATATCGTAGCTACTAATGATGAAGTCAATGGTGTGAATAGATTGATGGCGTGAGTCGATGACATCTGAATCAATTATTTCCATAATTTTTCTATTTAGATTGGAGAAATTTCCTCGATATCAATAAATGTGCTGATGAACAATGAACACAAACACTCATAATACATAACCTCAAATATTTTCTTTTCTCAATTGATAAAGTAGTTATTTCTCCGTGTTAGTGTTACTATTCTGAACCAAAGATTCTATGTTCTATCATCAGGTGTTAATAGATCTGTGAACTTGATTGAGCACGTATCTGCAACTGCGCTCAGACTACAGCTGTCATTACCATCATCACTTCTTGATTA